TGTGAGCTGAGGAGATGTGTCCTTGCTCTGGGTCTTTCCTTGGAAGCCTGTCCATTCCCATCCAGGTGGTCTGGCTGAAGCTCCCCATCGGTGTAACCATGCTCAGCCTCCCCAAAGCTCCTCCCTATAGGATGCAGCAAACCCCGGGGTTTGTTTGTCAACGTGTCCTTCTGCTCTAACAACAACAAAATCCATCCCCCCTGTCCCTGGCACAGGCAGAGCCCGGTGCTGCTCCCGCTGGAACAGCGATGGGATCACTGAGATGGAACAAGATTGATCACTCCCTCCCGAAGAACGATCGGTGTCCTCAGTAAATAATGCTCTGCAGCATCATCTGGGACATCATTAACCCCAGAGACAGCGACACCATTTAACCTCCCACGGGCTCACTCCACTCCTCCCCAGCTCCCTGAGCTGTCTGGGTGCTCAGCGAGTCCCTCCAGGGCCAAGGTGGGGATGTGATGCCAAAGTTCACCCGTGGGAAGAGGGAATTTGGCCCCACGCAGGAGGTGATGCAGGAGCAGCTCTTGCAGCACAGCCTTTGTGGGGAACCTACAGCGAGTCAGGGCCGGTTGGGCCATTTTGGCATCAGCGAGGGTGACACGGCACACATTCCAGCTGTTGGGTACATCAGGCTGTTTCCCAGCTCTCATCCACAGTCGAGGCCCCTCCCAGGGTTGCAGACCAGCAGTTGTGCTCAGGGTCTCCTCCCTTCCCAATCCACAAGCACATTCCACCTCCGTGACTCCTTCCAACCTGAGCCCCGATGTGCCAAGTGCTCAGGACTTGGCCTCACCTAGTCCTAGGACTTGGCCTCACCTAGTCCTGCCTCCTCACTCTGCTTAATAACTCCTGACTGCTCCTTCACTCTGTCTGTGCCCGAAACATTGGATTTATTAATGCATTTTTAATTAGCAAACTCATTCTCCAGGGGAAGGTGTCTTGCATCTTAATGACCTTTGCTTTGAACCTTTGCCAGCGAGAGTTTTATACCATAAACCTGTGTCTCCAATCAAGTTTCCTGACCCTCAACTCCTCAGCTGAGCAGCCAGAGGAGGTGGGAGGGATTTGGTGGCTGGATGCAGTGCCAGGCACAGTCCAAGGCAGTGGGAAGGTACAACACTCATTTGACTATGAACAAGGCACAGAAGACTTCCAAAGGCTCGGCACAGCTCCAGAAGTGCTGCAGGAAAGGCTGGTCGGAGCTCAGCAGTGGGGTTTGGGAGGTCCCAGGAGATGGGGGGGTCTGAGCAGAGCCCACGGCGTGCTGGGGACAGGCAGGGGACAGGAGGCAGCCCAGCTGCTCACACCAGTGCTCCTGTTCTCAGGGCCACAGTTATTATTCCTCGGAGCCTTGTTCAGGCCGGTTCACGCCCCAATTACTCACCAGGCTCCCCAGGAGGTGCCCCTTTGCAAGCCCCACCTTTCCAAATCAGTTTGTAGCATCAGGGGCCAGCACAAAACCCTGTTTTTCCCTTGGAGTTTGTGACATGTTAATCAGCTCTTGGGGTAGAGTTCCACACTGAAATGCTGTGCTGTTCC